AAGACCTCCAAGGTCCCTTCCAACTTTGTTATTCTGTTCTGTTCTGTTCTAATAAATTGAATGTTTATAGTTGGTAAATTGTATAATACTTTATTTAAGGTCTGTCAATGTAAAAGAAAGCTGTTGAAAGGGGAAGAGAAATTCATGCGAATATAATTCATGCCAAATTGTGTCAAAATGGATTTTCTTCTAAAATATTTTAACTTATGGAGGGGAATCACTTTTCAGTGGCATATTTATAGTCTGTCCCTTCATAGGAGATGAAAAGGAATAGGATTCTTGTGTCTACAAAAAGGCATAGCCATGTTCCCCTATGCTATTTTCAGAGGTCTATAACTGTCAAGGTTTCCTAAGTCACTTCACATTATTACCTAACTCTTAGTGTATGAGACCAACACAAAAGGAGGAGCATTGTTAAGAATAGTAAATGTTATTCTTGCCTTCAAAAAGGAGGAAAAAGTAAAAAGAAAATTACAGGCAGATCATTGTGGTACTGATGATTATGATTGACTCGGGAATATGATGGATGTACTGTACCTTGATCTCAGTCAAGAATTTATCTCAAACCTCCCATAGGTTTCTACTACAAAGATAACAAAAAGTGGGCTAGGCTATCATTAGGATACAAGCTGGTTGGTCAACAGCACCATATTGCTGTATGACAGCAATATGCTGTATGACAGTGACTCTACTATAAAAATTATAAAACCATAGGGCTTCATTCTAGACCATGTGCTGTTCAACATATTTCTTCAATCTTTGTATTTGCCCCTATATTTTATGCTGTTTTAACTCTGTATGTTTCCTAGAATATTTGGATTTGTAGTCTCTAAATCTAAACAAATAAATGAAAATAAGTGGGGTTAGAAATTATTATCAGATTTACAAATGACCCAAAGATATGAAGATTAGCAAGCATCTAAGGGACAGTATTAGGATTCAGGAGGTCATTGGCAAACTGGAACAAGCGGTAATCAGCAAGATGAATCTCAATGTGGATAAATCCATAATCCTACATCTGGGCAGGAACAATAAAACATGAGCCTAGGAAGTGGGTGACCATAGTGAGAAATACAAAAATTATCTTAGTGCCTTGCTTGATCACAAGCTGAACATAACCTACTAGTAGCGTAATGCAGTTTTTTTAAAAAAGCAAATACAATCTGAGCATGCATAAACAGAAGGAACAATAGGTCTAAACTATGATGAATTATATTTTGGTTGGACATCATGCAAAAAAACAAAGTTTTCTCTGCCTGAAGAAGAGTAGACACTCATCAGAAGTATTTAAAGAAGTTGGATGCTATAGCAGAAGATTCCTGCACCGGTCTAGAGGTTCAACTATACAATTTCCAAGATAAATTCTCCTCACATTCCATGAGTCCATCTCCTTTATCTCCTTTTGCTGTCTTTCTTAATACTGTATCCCCCCCCCCCCTTCTGCTCTTCAAAGGTTATTTGCAGCAGTTGCTCTCTAGAGGCAGGAAAGCAATTGAGAGCAAGAAAGTTATCTCAATTCTTTTCCAATCTCACTGGAAATCCTAGAAAATTTCAATTTAACCTAAAATGATCTTGAGATCTATATGGATGGACTGATTAGGTGCCATCAATTCATTCTTGACTCTTAGCAACAACACAGACAGAGTCTCTAACCTGGGCTTTGAAGTCTTGCAATGATTATTATTACCACTATAACTTGAGTCCATCCATCTTTCAGGTTAGTTGCTATCAGTATGAGTATGCAGTGAGAGAGAACAAGCTAAAACAAACATGAAATCATCACTAAAAGTATGATTGTTTAGACCAATGGACCACTGGAAAGAAACATCAAAGATAAAATAATACTATGCAGTATAGATTATAAACTCAACCCCTCCAGGACACAGTGTGATTCCAGAGCTTTTGATGAACTATTCCCTGTGAGTGGAAGTTCTCATCCCTTCTCCTTTCCCACCCTGGCATTTGTTATGTATGAAAACCTATAGGAATATAGCAGTATTTTTCAGGCAATTTGCTGGTTTTGTGAAGAAGCCAGTTTAAGTATTATACAACAGGGAGGAAAGCCCATTTCATATTATGCAGAGTCACAGGAAACAGTTCAAAGGACTCCATTTTCCTTCCAGACCTAGCAGGATCTACAGTAGTGCACATACTTAGCAAAAACTTGGCTCTCTTTGTCATGCACAATTATTTTCTTAATCAAGTATTATATCTGGGAGTTCTTTATCCTAGAACATACATTGAAATTTGACACCCTGAAACAGTCAACTGCCTCCTTGCTGGAAAACACTCATTTTCTCATATAGCTTCATCCAAGCAAACAACCTTCGCTTTGTTAAGGATCTCCTTTTTTATTTTCTGTTTGGGAAAAAGTGTCCAGTTATGTGTCAATTATATCTGATGGAGACCGATAACATTCTCTTATATTGGGGCTGTGTGGAAGGGATAGTTAAAATTTCAAGCAATTATCCACTTTTGTAATTCCCAAGGAGACAATATGATTTCTTTTCGTACTGTGTTATTGCTAGGTAGTATGAAAGCATCTTTCATGGCTGAGACAGCAATTAAAGGCATCTGTATCTCATGAATTTCTCCCCTGCCAGGTCTTAATTCTTAGAGCTGCAATGACCAAAGTATATAGCAATAGCAATCTTAGACTTATATACCCCTTCACAGTGCTTTTACAGCCCTCTCTAAACTGTTTACAGAGTCAGCATATTGCCCCCAACAATCTGGGTCCTCATTTTAATGACCTCGGAAGGATGGAAGCCTGAGTCAACCTTGAGCTGGTGGGACTTGAACTGCCAAACTGCTGGCAATCAGCAGTCAGCACATGTAGCCTGCAGTACTGCACTGTAACCAGTGCACCACCACAGCTCTTAGAAAAGAGAAACTGTGTTCACAAGATGGTTATCCAGGAATTATAAACTTAGCATCTACATTCTGTAGCAGCACATCCCTTCTGGAATGAGGTGCCCCCTCCCCAATATCTGGGTGGTCCTCGTCCTATTGTAGTTGATAAAAGTAGCAAAGACCTGGCTCTTCACCCAAACCTTTAGCAAGGGAGAATGGGATCCCTAACTCCATTTCATTTTATGTATAGTGCTTGTCATCTTTTATCTTTTAAGGATTTCACTGCAATTTCTTCATTTGATTGTTGTGAGCTAACCATAGGCACGCAACAATCATTATTATTGTTTACATGATATTTATTTATTTAAAACATGTATATCTCTTATATCTTATATATACATGTATACATCTTATAAGAAACTCTGAGCAGCTCCAAATATTTGAAGTCTAGCTAAATTTAACCTTGGTTTGAGTTTGTTTGTGTATCATAGGATGTGCTGTAAACCCAGTCCATTTTGTTAATTTATTGCTCAGTCTATTGTATGAACCCACAAAACAGATTATTGAAGTAGCCAGTAATTATGTGCTGAGCAAAGGCAGTTGTGTCCAAAGGAAAGGTAAAGGACAGATAGATTTTATTTTCTGTTGCCTTTTCTTGTTTACTCATTTGCTCTCAACACCCAGAAGGAAATAAAGGGCAGTCAGTTGAACAGAAATGTCAACAACAACATGCTCATCAATGCTTAACACAGTTGGCTCACTCCAAATCACCACCAACATGTGATAATCTAAGCCAAAGAACAGTGATCACCTGCAGTTCTGGGGACAGCACAACACTCTGGGTAAGATTGGGCTCCTTGGTGGCAGAGATTGAGAGAAAGAGAGAGAGAAGGAATTGTGGTGACACACAATGAAAATGGGTCCCACTGGGTCCAGTTCCAAGTGAGAAAATGTACACAGAAGAGAGGGCAGAAAATGAAGCTGATCCTCACAGTTGCAGTTCACGAAAACTTAGGGCTTTTAATAAAATTGGCTGCCAGCAGGCTTCTTTTGATGGTTTATCCCGCCAAGCCAAAAACAAAGCGGAGTCCCACTTTGAAGGCACCTGGCTGGCCAAGGTCATGTTAAATCTGAGACCATCCTGGGATAGACGTGATGTAACCAGGAGGGTGATATTGGGATTATCCAAGAGTAAGAGGACACAGCAACTGGTGAGATGGACAGAAGGGACATGGGGACAGGAAGGCAAGAAAGAAGCAGTTTGGCAGGGTTGGGTGAGTTGGCCCTGTCTTTCAGCCTTGGGAAGCTGCATTGAAAGCAAGCCTCTGCCCACTTAGCCTTCCGAAAAGCACTGGAGACTTTTCCCTCAAGAGGATTTTACTGGCTATTTTTACTTCTGGCTGTTCACCGCCCTGAGTCCTTCCGGAGAAGGGCGGTATATAAATTTAAATATTAAATTAAATTAAATTAAATTAAATTAAATTAAATTAAATTAAATTTTAGAAGAGACGGCTTGTGAAAGTTTTAACTTTAGTGCCAGGTTTTTAAACGTTTTTGGTTTCCACATCTGTATGTATTGTTTTCTTTTCTTATTGATGTTGTTTTAATGGTAGATTGGGAGCCGCCCAATATATGATGGTGGCTATATAAGTGTTTTGAAAAAACAAACAAACAAAAAGTTCCGAAGAGGGGAAAAAAAGACGCCCTCCCTCCTCCGGGCTCCCACTCGGCCTTTGGCTCCCTGGCCAGTAGCAGGACGAACCGGCCCTCCTGCCATAGGGAGTCTATTAGCACTTGTTGGTTTGGCTCTCCAACGCGGTGGCGGCGTCTGTCTGAGGAGGGAAAGTCTTCTCTTGCAGGAGTAGATTGGCGGGAAGCGGAGGGAGGGAGGGAGGCGGAGGGGGCGCCCTCCCCGCCTTGTCCTCCTCCTCCCACCTCTTTTCTCCCCCTCGCTCTTCGTAGGTGCTGACGCGCCGCTCGCCTCCTATTAATCATCCCCGCGAGCCGACGAGCTGCAACTAATGCCAGTTGGGCTGGAGGCGGCGCGCAGCTCCGTCCTTTTTTCCCGCTCTCCCTGCGCTGTGGGAGCAAAGGACGGCGGCGCTCGCCCTCAGGCTGTTGTGCCCTGAGGAGAAAGAATGCTGAGCCGCCGCCGGGCTGCCCGGGCACTCGCGCCTCTCCCGCCATCCTGAGCTCGGGCCGACGGGGCGGAGGATGGCCCCTGCGCCAGGCTGGTGGCGGGCGCTGCTGGAGGCATGGACTCGGCAGCGGCTGGCAGGAACTCCTCCGGCCCCGCTGGCCCCAACGGCACGGTGAGCGGCGGCGGGGGCGGCGGCGGAGGCGGCGGGGGCGGCGAGTCTCCGGGCAGCGGCAGCGCCATCCTCATCTCCTTCATCTACTCCGTGGTGTGCCTGGTGGGTCTGTGCGGTAACTCCATGGTCATCTACGTGATCCTGCGCTACGCGAAGATGAAGACCGCCACCAACATCTACATCCTCAACCTGGCCATTGCGGACGAGCTGCTGATGCTGAGCGTGCCTTTCCTGGTTACCTCCACGCTGCTCCACCACTGGCCCTTCGGGTCGCTGCTCTGCCGCCTGGTGCTCAGCGTGGACGCGGTCAACATGTTCACCAGCATCTATTGCCTGACCGTGCTCAGCGTGGACCGCTACATCGCGGTGGTGCACCCCATCAAGGCGTCGCGCTACCGCCGGCCCACGGTGGCCAAGATGGTTAACTTGGCCGTCTGGGGGCTGGCCCTCGTCATCATTCTGCCCATCCTCATCTTCTCCCGGACCGAGGCCAACACGGACGGCACGGTGGCCTGCAACATGATGATGCCCGAACCTAAGCAGAAGTGGCTGGTGGTCTTCGTGGTCTACACTTTCCTCATGGGCTTCCTCTTCCCCGTGGTGGCCATCAGCCTCTGCTACATCCTCATCATTGCCAAGATGCGCGTGGTGGCGCTCAAGGCCGGCTGGCAACAGCGCAAGCGCTCCGAGCGGAAGATCACGCTCATGGTCCTCATGGTGGTCACCGTCTTCGTCATCTGCTGGATGCCTTTCTACGTCGTGCAGTTGGTCAACCTCTTCGTCGAGCCCGACGACGCCACCATCAGCCAACTTTCCGTCATCCTGGGCTACGCCAACAGTTGCGCCAACCCCATCCTCTACGGCTTCCTCTCGGACAACTTCAAGCGCTCCTTCCAGAGGCTCCTGTGCCTTAGCTGGATGGACAACGCCGCCGAGGAGCCGGTCGACTACTACGCCACCGCCCTCAAGAGCAGGGCCTACAGCGTGGAGGACTTTCCCGCCGACAACTTCGGAGAGTCGGGCAGCGTGTACCGCAACGGGACTTGCACCTCCAGGATTACAACCCTCTGAGGGCAGCTTTCTGACTCTCCCGGGCCGGGCCGAGCGGAGTGGACGGTGGGCGGGAGGAGATCGGGCCAAGAGAAAGAGGGGGAGGGGGAACGAGGGGGCAAGGAGAGGCGGAGAGAGCGGCCCGAGGGACAGACGGCTCCCCCGCTGGCCATCTTCAACTTTTAAGCTGGCCCACTCGGCTGGACGCTCCTTCTCCCTCTTCCTTGTCAAAGGATGAGATCTTGGGAAGCCTGGCCGGTTCTCCAACCCTCTCCGCTTCCCTACCCTCCGGAGCCTTGAGTCTCTCTAGCGTTTTCTTTGAGGTCCGGGGCCCGCGAGTGTGGTTTTCTTCACCGGCGAGGGTGTCTGGGCTTGGCATCAAGTTGAGGACCACTGGATCGGCCGCGATATCCAAGTTCCGCGTGAAAGATTGCTGAGCGCTGCTGGAGGGTTTTTGCTCCTGGCTTCCGGAAAAGAAACCAAACCAAATCAGGACCTAGGTTGCCTTTATCTGTTTTTCAGCAGCATAAAGAGATGCCGGGGATGAGCTCAAAACACCCCCCCCCCTAAAGCTGTGGGTATTCCTGATGGTAGCGGTGTGTAAGTGTGTTGTTTCAGAAGTTGAGACTGGGACTCACTCTCGATAAGCTCATATGGTGTACTCAGTGGTTCGCCTGAGCCAACCAGCAGTATTGAAAACATACAAGCTTAGCTTTACAACGAGCCTTGTTTCTAAATCATTCCACAGTTCATCTTTGGGAGGGGGGGGAGAGAATAATTCCAGATTCGCCAGAAGGTTGGCAAAAATCCTTCTCACCCTTTCCAAGAACTTCCCCAGCAGGAAGCAAATGATCCTGAGGCAGTACAAAATCTTAGCTCTGCTTGGCAGCCCCAGGAGAAAGCTAACTATTCCATCAGCTTAATAGAAACGAATAATCTTATCTTTTCCCTCTGGGTCCCTGCTGCGGGACCAATTTCTGTTCGCTGGCTTTGAGCAAGCCTGGGGGAAATGGCGATCCATCTGGAAAGGGAAAGGAAACCAGTCCAGTAGAAAGCAAGCAGGGTTTTGTTATCTCAAAGCAGCAGCTGGCTGTTGATAAGGAAGAAAGCCCCAGCCAGCCACTCTTTCCCAGATGATTGTCAAGATCTGAGTCCTGAACTCCCAGCAGTGTTTGGTTTGGCGTTTTGAATCAAGGGGAGGGGAGAACAGCAAAGTTACAGTCCTGGGCTGGTATTTGTTACAAACTACAAACAGAGAGAAATAAGGAGGAAAGAGCAGTTTGTGAATGGGAGGCTAAGGGTTGGTTGTTTTTTTTAAAAAAGCCTTCTTTGAGACATCAAGATTTCTTCGGCTGCAGTTCTCAAAGTACTCACCAATGGTTACCTCAGAAAAAATATATCTGGCTTTAGAGGAATAATTATTAAATGGCTTGAAAAGTTCAATCAAAAGTACCCTTCTAACTGTTCAAAAGGAGTTCAAACTAAAAGAAACAATGTAGCCAAATTCAAGATTATTTATTGATTTACTTATTTACACAACTTTGACACTTCAGTAATATGTTTTGCTAGATCTGGCCCAACATCATTTAAACCAGCACTTATCTCCTAAGTTTCAAAATCAACCAAGGAAAAGTCATAGGAGATGCAAAGCATTGATTTAATATATGTTATGCTCTTTTAATTGGACCTCAAATTCAATAAACCAGGAGGTCTGCAACCTTTGTTCTCTTCTAGAAAGCATAAATCCTATGGGAGACCTCTAGGGCTTCCCATTGTAATCATAATATATAGCACTGACAATGGAGTTCTAGACCTGGTTTGCTTTGAGTCATATTCTTTGTTAGGGTTTTTATTTATTATTTGACTGTAATAAATATTCAATTTGATTCAAGTCATATTCAGTCCCTTTAGAATTAGGATGCATATTTCCCATAACTGATGGAGACTAAAAAAAAAAGAGTTCAAGAACAATGAAACGGCTAAATGATTAGTTTAGTACAAATGGACTCATCTGACCAAATATTTTCTCTATCAAACAGCCAGGCACAGATCCTACAAAAGAAATAAATAAAAACAAGGTGCTGGAGTGGGGCTTGGGGAAGATCCAGATGATCCTCTTTTTCCCACTTCTACCCAGATGAAATGTATTCTTCATTTAATTTATAATACGCTTGTTTAAATTACTTTGCTGTGTGTTACATTTCTTGGGAGCCAGTTTTCAAATGTAAAATAAATAATTTTTCTTTTTATATTTCTAATTCTATGTAGTTTCTATGTTGTGGAGACAATTCTCTATAAAACAGTCCTTAAAAATAGATTTTGGGAATATACAAATTCATGATGCTTATATCTGTTTAAAGCACTTTCTTTGGTCAGAGAATGTCTGTAGTTTGGGAAGAAAGTTATTTTGTTCTTGTATTTTGTCTTCTGTCCTATACTGTTATTGTATATGTTTTGGGAAAGTGTTTTTATAAAGAATAATGATGGTTAATATACAACTCTTAATATCCTTTGCTTTAGATTTATCCTAAATAGTTTGATTAAAAAAATTAATCCCCAAATAAAAAACAGATGTGAAATGGAAGTCCTAATATTCCAAATCTTCTCCATTTATTTAACAGAAGGCCCATTAAAAGGATCTGAGAGAAGAATTGAGATAAAAATAGATACATATTTGCTTGAAAATATGCATTCTTAAAGTACAGAACATTTTGGAATAAATACATTCAAACTACAATCTTGATTCCCTAATACCTATTAAAAAATAAGAGTATATTTTCTTGTATGATGGTGTTAGTAAACATTACAAGTTTAAAGCAAGATGAGTTGAGAAAACATAATTTTATACTCAACTTTACAATCGAATTTCCATGATAAATTCTTATCAATTTTATTCTGATAATTTACAGAGGTTTTGACAATTTCTTGAACTTTAATAATACTTCAGTTTCTTCCAATTTAATTAATTATTTAATGCCAGTAATTAATATGGTACCTTTGAATGGAATGCAATTAGGAAAAAATCTTCAGTTCATTCAGCTTGAATTTTAATATTCTTAATACTGCAATACTTATACTCATTTTATCAAGGAGAATGTCCTATTAAGCCCGTGAGGAAAAATATGTATAACACTGCTATAAATTAGATATTAAAACATGCAACCAAATTGTAATGTAATTAAAATCAAATACATTTGTACTTTGCCACAATATGTATGTACATTGTTCAAAGGTACTTATTCATATCCAAACAATGCATTTTTTTCAGTGAAATTTGATTCTTTGCCTGAATTGGGCTTCCAGTTCAATCAGAAAAAGGGGGAAATTAAGAAGTAAAACTAGAAGACAAAAGTAAGCCTAAGTGCATTTTCAAATAGGCTGAACACTATTTGGACAACCTTTGTTACACTGTTAAACTTACTGAAAAAGTAAGTTTAAAAAGCTGGGGGAAAAACTTCTGAAAATAATTATTCATAATCTGTGGAACTAAAGGAAAAATTCAACCTTATGTATATCTACTTAGAAGTAACTTTCACTGGTGGCCACAGAACTTATTTCCCATAAAGGATGTACAGGATTGTAGCCTCACAAATGTCAAAAGATTGATCATTACTATTTATTATAAGAGTTACCAAAATGCAAGATTTTGAATCACGCTTTTAGCCTGTATTTTGGAGTATTAACTTGATATGCATTTTAATTCATTTACTAATTGCAGCTTGCCTTTTTTTCAGGGCTCCTTTCCATGTAAATTCTAACCTGCCACTTGAAATGAAAAGCATCAAATTGTTTAGGGCAGAAACACTACTGCACCAGTTTATAATATTGTTTTACAATATTAGAACAGCATTTCAACTTCAGATCACTTATTTCCTTAACAGAGGATCTATCCAGTACTCTTATGTTGTGACCTTCCTCCAGCAATGCTGTAATTCAGTGTTAGCTTAATAAATAGATGTCTTTAACACTTATTTGTAATCCATTTTTATTGTTCCTCTGCAATTGCTTGACTGATTTTGATCTTTAAAGGACATTGAAAAAACATATAATTGCACATAGCCCCAACATTTGTTGAGACAAAAAACAAAGATTTGCTTGTTTTTTTGTCATCATGCAAAGACATGTTGACAAGTGGGTGTTTTGAACTACATTGTGGATTAAAACCAACATTTTATCCAAAATGTGCAAGATGCATTTGAACAAGAAGGAATATAAAAACTGAACTGCCAATATTGAATTAAAAGATGGCAAATCATGACTCATCAGATATGGGCAGGTGAAAGCCATTATTGAATTCCTATCTCTACAGTGAAAAACTAGCATCTCTAAAGATAAAACAATACGGGTGGGTATTGTGGCAGTAAAACTGGAAACACTTATTAGAATTGTGGACTCCTTTTGAGAAATTGTACAGAAGGAAAACATAAAGGCAATTAAAATATGTGCCAAATTTCACAAAATATTGTTTTTCTTGGGAATAGGCAGTGTGACATGTTTTTAGCACAGTAACAACTCCACAGTTGGTTTTCATTATATTTTCTTTTATATATTTTGTAGAAAACAATGTCCTGAAAGTCATTTAGCTAAAAGTAAAACAATATCTTGTAGTCTCATCTGCCCATTGTAAAATCCATTGAGAGAAGCAACTCTGAAGCCTGAATCACAGGACTAATGGGAACATATTGTATATTCAACATTTAATGGATGCAGTATTGCTTACAAAAAGTGTGAAGACTACATTCCCCTATATTTTACACAGATTTAAAAAATTGGGGCATTAACAATGAAAGAATAGCCAGGTTTTTTTTTACCAAATGCATGTTTTCATAAAAGCTTAATGCTGACTCACTTCGTTCAGTACAATAATTGTTGACATCATAAAAGCAAGTAGGTTTTAATGAGAAATGTTAATGGTTACATTAGTTAAAAATCTTAAATAAAATGTGCTGTGCCAACAAAATGATTGCCTGGCTATTGCTTAACAGCTGTTATACAATAGCACAATACCACTAAGTGCTATATTGGCACTATCTGCCAAAACATCAGAGTTAGATCATTTGGGATTTGAGATGGAAATTCATCTATTGAACAATGTTGCAGCATTTTTCCAGATGTCTCAGACAGTTAAAAACAAAGTATTATTAATTATAGGAGAGAACGATACTCACAGTATATAAAATAAACTACTTCTACCACAACAATCATTGTGAGAAGCATCAATGTGTTGATTTTACATGCATGCACATGTGCAATGCATCACAATGTCATGCTTGCCATCCAGTCAATTTTGGTTCCCTCAGGCAGATATCCAGGTTGAAGAACACTAACCCATATATTCTATTATTAATCTTGTTATTTTTTCAAACAAAAATCTGTATGGGAAAAAAAAAAGGTTTAATGGCTTTTTACTGAATGTAAATACAAAGAGAAAGAAAAAGAAGCAAAGGTCAAAATTATAAAGATAAGAAAAACATGGGGAAAAGAAAAAAGAAAATTAAGGGGGGAAATCCGAGGTATGTATTAATGAGTATACGTACATATAGAATTATATACATCAATTACTGGTACCCTGTTTTCCCCAAAATAAGACATCCCCTGATAATAAGCCCAATCGGGCTTTTGAACACATGGCAATAAGGCCGAGCACTTATTTCAGGGTTCAAAAAATATATAAGACAGGGTCTTATTTTCAGGGAAACACGGTAGTTATATTTCACTGGAATCATCCATAGTTTATCAATGCTAATGATCCATTCATAAGTTGCTAATAAAATCAATTTTGCACACCATTGACTAATTGGGACAACTTTTCTCTTCCCAATGCTGCGGAATAAATATTTGTATAAATAAGTCAGTGTTAGAGAGCACACTGAGTCCTCAGGTTCAGAAGCTGAACAGTTCTAGCAGCGTGAAACTGAGCCCACTCCACAGGAGTTAACAGAAGGGAGGGCTCTTCAGTTGCAGGCTGAGTCAGCATATCCAGATCCTGGGTTAACCAAAGCCCTGACCTATCCAAGGTCCTGAAGCTGGCAGCAATAGAGAGCAAAGGAAACCAACCAGGCAGGAAGAATTGTGGGTCAACAAATTAGCCCAGCAGGGAACAAGGGCCACATAAAGAAAACTGCAGTCCCTGGACCGGAGCCCTAATGGTGCCTTTAATTTTCTGCTAATGACATAAAAGTATGTAACTCAATGTGAAGTATTACATTGTTATAATTCTTGGATAAAGTCAGCATGAAAAGTTCATGCATACATGCATTCTTTATATGTATTTTATCAGAAGAAAAAGTTAAATATTTTTGAAAGTTATGCTGATAATGACACATTTAGAATAAATTGTTCCTATAGCAAAAAAACTGAAATACCAAGTAGTCATTGATTTGTATCCTCCAGAGAAGAATAACATGACCCAATTTCAACATTCATTTCTAATAGAGTCAAGCTTCATGAGATTTTACCACATCCATTTCATATATAAAATATCCATAGTGACAGTTAATATACCATTGACGTCAAATCATTTTGTACATTTCTGTGCTGTATAGTTTGTCTTTCCAAAGATATATATTTATGAATTGCAATGTGCATTAGAGAAATAAAAAGTGTCTATGTTTTAATCATGGAACTAATTAAAACTCAATGGGAGATTGAGCAGCATAAACTTGGCAATGTTTATGGGTAACTTATATAATAAAGTGGCATGCAGATTTGGGAATAACTCTGCAGCCCACCTCAAATCAATAGTATGGTCAAATGCATTCTTCTTGACACCTTGATAAGTTTATTTTGCATACTCTCTAACAGGGAATTGCTGGAAGAACCAAAGTATTATTCAGAACCTAACTCCAAATATTGCTGAAGGTGCAAAACATTAAGCAGTTTGGAGAAACATGTCACTTAAATCATTTTTTATACCTGTGTGATATTTTATGTCCTAACCCATTGCAGGGAATTATTTAAATCTGCTTGCAAAACATGTACATGGTAGATGGTATTATGTAATAGAACATGAATCTCATGTGATAGACTAAACTGAGAATGATTTAAAGCTTTCACTTTTTCATCTTGGCTACTTCTTCTATTATGATGGACAATTGTTCTTCTCACCCTGTGCTAGAATCTCAATTCAATTCTTCTTCGCTGATTCTCAGAGTTTTGGTGGATAAAGTAGTTATTGGGAAAGTAGAAGAATTAACATTCCAACCTACTGCCCTTCTTTATTTCTTACTGCAAGTCAGGGAGACCAAACCAATGACTGGGGCCAGAAAAGAAAAGCTAGTTGTTCAATCACTCTGAAAAATGAAACAGGTGGTAAAAAGGCCTATTACATTTTGCAATATGGCACACTGGTAGCAATTACAAGAGCTGAGATGAATCAGGAGCCCTCCAAATGTAAAGCCACTCTGCACAGAAACTCCAGAGAAAATGCCGCAAAAATACCCTTGTTGGAGTTTAGCTGGTTGTTAGTTGGCTCACCTTTTAATATATGCACAAATGGGCAGACATCATAGGGTCATAGGCAGTGGTGAAATCCATTTTTTTTTTACTACTGGTTCTGTAGGTATGGCTTGGTGGGCATGGTGTGGCTTGGTGGGTGTGGCAGGGGAAGGATACTGCAAAATCTCCATTCCCACCCCACTCCAGGGGAAGGATATTGCAAAATCTCCATTCCCACCCCACTCTGGAGCCAGCCAGAGGTGGTATTTGCCGGTTCTCCAAACTACTCAAAATTTCCACTATTGGTTCTCTGAATTGCTCAAAATTTCCGCTACCGATTCTCCAGAACCTGTCAGAATCTGCTGGATTTCACCCCTGGTCATAGGGTAGTTGCACCATTCTCAGATTGCATAACATCATATGTTTTTGCATAGATTTGTTGTGGATTTGCAACAATATTTAAATACAGGTAGTCCTCGATTTACAACAGTTCACTTAGTTACCGTTCAAAGTTACAACGGCACTGAAAAAAGTGATTTATGATCGTTTTTCACACTTATGACTGTTGCAGCATCCCCATTTATATTCGGATGCTTGACAACTGACCCATACTTACGACTTCTGACAAGCAAAGTCAATGAGGAAACCAGATTCACTTAATAACTGTGTTACTAATTTAACTACTGCATTAACTCACTTAACAAAAGTGGCAAGAGAAGTTGTAAAATGGGGCACAACTCACTTAACAAATTTCTCATTTAGCAACAGAAATTTTGGCTCAATTGTGGTCATAAGCTGACAACTATCTGTATATCTTTTAAAAATATTTGTATTATTAACTAGCGTTTTTAAGCTAAGGTACATCATGTTTCTGGAGATTGTAAGCATTATAATAAATAAATGTCATATTTATTTATCATAAATAAAATACCTAGTACAATCTTTGATTTGTTCTGCCAATATTTAATGAAGGAATTCACTAATAAACAACTTCACATATTTTCTTCCTTTCTTTACACCTATGCAACTGATAACATTTTTATCATTCAACTATGAATATTCTCCAACATTCTGCATATTTAATCAATAGTTTGAGAGTATCTCTGCTCTATCAGTTATTAAAAACATTAATGAGTCCTATGAAAGCTGCATTCCTACAAAAAATTAACTGCAGTCTTATTTACTGCAGTTACTTATTTTCAACAAAAAATAATAGTAACAGAAAAAAATTGAGCAACCCCTATTTTTTAACAATTTCACATACCTCTCATATGCAATTTTATATTACTACATCATTTTAAAATAATTATCCCTTAATTTAATATAAAGAGTTTTGCACATAATTGTTGTCGTTAGTTGCAAAGTCGTGTCCGACCCATTGCGACCCCATGGACAATGTTCCTCCAGGCCTTCCTGTCCTCTACCATCCCCCAGAGTCCATTAAGCTCATGCCGACAGCTTCAGTGACTCCATCCAGCCACCTCATTCTCTGCCGTCCCCTTCTTCTTTTGCCCTCAATCGTTCCCAGCATTAG